TTCCACTCAGAATTTCCTATCTCTTAATTTTTCCACTGTTTCCATTATCTGTAATGTGCTTATGTCAAGTTCTTGGCAGGGCACATGCTTTCATCTCATCTACTGTGTAGTGCCAAGCACTTTTTTTTTTTTTTCTCCCTTTTGAAATAATTAATGGGTTTTGAGATTTTGTAGATCAAGCTGCAAATGTTTCTTTGCTGATAAAGATTTTAGGTCAAGAGGATATTATTCCTTTCTTATCCCAGATGAAATTTCACACAAGCAGAGCAGTGAGCCATAAAATCCATTAAAATCATAAACTAGAATTAACTCACTGGGTTAGTTGCAACAGTACTTCTTGGGACACCTGAGCTGAGGGATCTAGTGGACCTTTTGAGAGTATGGAGTTTCAGACAGGCTTCTTTTTCTTACTGAATCATACATTGCTTTTCTCTTAAACCAGTCCCTTTTTTTGGCAATAGCCTCCAGGGTAAGGGCCATGTCTTTGTCATACATATAAACGGACAGTAAAAATGTAGCAGGGAACTGCTGACATTGGGTGGCTTAGACGGTTTCATTATAGAAATGTCTGCTATCACTTTTCTCTCCCAGTATGCCTGTGACCCAGATTATCTCAATAAAAAAGTAACATACATGACAGTTAGATTACATACACTGCATCTGCTACACACACTTCTCCTGATATATCTAAACTATGTACATGTGAGTGCGCATGTTTAGGAGATGCAATACATACAATCTGAAACTTCTTCCATGACTTCTATTTCTTGAGCAAGCCAAGATTTGCTGGGGGAGGTGATACACTTTATTACATCAAGTGAGATAGTTGTAAAAAAAAAAAATACACAAGGATTTGCATATTCAAAAGCTTGTCTCCCATTTTTAACAGCCACAACTGGGCTAATGAAAGATATTATTTTCCCTTGCAAACGTTGCCATGCTTGCCTGTAGACTGTTGTGGGCTTTACAACAGCAGCATGATTGCTTCCTCTGTTGGAGAATGAACGTGGTGCTCAGAAAGACTGAAGGGCCCTTGGGACTGATGCAGAGCAGGAAGGACACAGGGAGAAGCAGGTGTGATGTCCCAGACCTCACATGAGTGCTTCATAGGACTGCAGGGGCTTCAAAACAGCTGGCAGTGTCCCTAGCACAGCCTGGTGGCCAGCTCTGCTTTGGAGGTGGCCTTTCCAATGCTGCCAGCAAGCCTGCCTTTTCAGTAAATTCAGATTATGGGACTTGATGATCCCTTCCAACTCAGGATATTCTATTATTCAAGAAAAAGACCCCCTGAAGGACTAGCTGATTGACTTCCCAGAGCCACTGGTGTATCTGTGTGACCCTCTGCACCTGGGGAGGCTGAGGTGGACCTCCCAGATGGTGCTCTGGCCCAGTAGCTGTCTGCACGGAGGCTGGGAGCAGGTAGGTGAAGACAATGTGAAATAGTTATCTGCTATTAATCATAACAGCTTGATTCTATTAATAACAGCTTAATTAGTAAAAGGTGTTTAATAAATATTGGCTGTGATCTGTGTTTCCTCCTGACTCAATTGTCTTTGAGAAGGAAAATTTACAACAAGGGCATTAGGCAGAGTGAAAATCAGAAGCTGTCTGCTGGGCAAGCCATCCCTGCAAGAGATCTGATCTTGGAACAAAAATTAGCCTAGGCTTGTGCTACCTCACATTTGTGTCAGACAAAGGGTGTGCTCTTTTACAGAAAATGTTAAATGTTTTTTGCAATTTTGTTACCTGACACAGCAATATAGGGCTTTTCACGTTTGGAACTGTGTACAGGTTCTACCGGCAGCCAGGGCACGAACCTCAGGGAGAACATAAAAACAGGACTGGACTCAAATAAGGGCAGCTCCAATCAGCTTTGTCAACACTTTTGATTAAAAGTACATTGTTTAGGAGGCTTCAGTATGAGAGCTTGCAAGAGGAGGGACTCTTCATCAGCCCAGTTTTCAGTAAGACCAAGAAACTGACTTTGCAACTGCTTGTTCTGTTCAAAAACTGCCTCCAACCCTAAAACCTTAGGATATACGCAAACTCTCATCTTCCTTTCAAGCAAGCATTTCCTCCTGCATGACCCACCTGATGGACACCACATCTCTTCACCCATCTTTATACTCTACCCCACCTCTGCATGTTGGCACACTGCATGTCCTCACAGAGCTCTGAAGCCAAACTATTTCAGAGCAGCAGCTATAGGGAAGAAAGCATGTTCATGGAGATGCCTTAAATGATGAAACTGATGATACCAGACATCATAGTAGGATACAGCCAGAGATTCTTCCAATGACCTTTAATAGATTTGCAAAATATGTCTTCTGTCAAAAGTAAAAGTGACTTTTTTTTTCTTTTGGCATATCATGGTACATCCATTCTTTCATTATGATTTTTGTGAATTGGCAAGGAGCTGCCAGTTAGTTCTGGTGGTCCTCTCCAGAATCCTCACAAACGTGTGTTGGTTTGTTGTTTTTTGTTTGTTTGTTTGTTTGTTTTTTTCCTTAAACAATATTATCCATGTGCTTTTTTTTTTTTTTCCACTGGTACTAAAGCAGTTCTGAGCAAAAGTAGACATTTCAGAAATCTAGTATCCAGACTTCCTATCAAGCACTGAGCATTCTTTTGGATTTTTAAATAAAAATAATAATAAAGTATTATGACAACATTTTTAAATGAAAGCCTTACCAGTTTTCCCACTGCAAGGCAAGCTTTCTGATCTGTAGAGTTTTATACAGGGAGTGAGGCAAAAGATGACTGAGTCATCAATTGTAAATGACTCCATGGGGAATAAGTAAAAAAAAATTCCTGTATTAGCCACATTTCTATGATAGCTGAAAATAGAAAACATGAGGTTGAAGCCAAGCAAATCTAAACTAAATGTGAAGCCTTCCCCTTTTTTAATGATTATTTATTGTGCATGGGGAAGGATTAAAAGATACAGACTTCAGTTGTCCAAAAATTCTTAGGTCTAAATTTGTTTGTAAAACATAGTTATCAGGCTTGTTTCTGATGTAACTGGCAAAGTTAATCTACCTCTGTTTTGCAGATCCAGTTATATAATCATACTTATTTTCCTCAGTCTCAAAACATGATCCTATGACAAAGTTCATATCTTATTTGCATTAGTGTTGCTTGGGCTTTAATTCAGTAACAAATTATCGTGCAAAAATTAACATGCCTCCACTTTCAAATTTTATATAAGCAGAGTGACTGATGCTCTATGAAGTCTGAAAGACTCAAAATATTTCAAAACATTTATCTCATGGAAAGTCTGTGTTGAAACTTTTTTATGCTAACTGCTGGCAAATAGTTTTTGCAGATGCAAACAAAAAAAAGTAGAATAAAATAATAAAACAAAATCATAGGAGGGTTTTAGAGGCAGTAGGAGCAGAATGAAACTGGTGAATCAGCTCCAGTAAGCTTAGCTCTAATCTCACTTGGGGTCATCTCTGTAGGGAAATACACCAGCATTGCTCTTTTGTATAATTATACTGCTACAGTTATACTATTATGAATTATTATGTTTCCAAAGCAACCTATCAGGAGTAATTCCATTTAAATCAATGGAATAAGGAATAGAAGAATCAATTCACCATACACAATGGTCTCTGGACACTGAATTACTCATTTTTCCTAGGAAAAATAATGGAAATAAATGTAAAATGGACATAAATCCAGGAGTAATACACCAAAATGACTGTAATACAATTATTTGCTTGTGTTTAAAGCAGTCTGTTTTGAACAGAGAAAGGAAGTCTGCAGCAATTCATTTTCTTTGTTGACTTACTCCGAATATTCAGAAATTATCATGTTTACTTTGCTAGTATACGGTTACACTGCCAAGCATCAGCAAGCGTTTGGTGCCCTCTTACGGTTCATTCAAGCAACTTCAACGATAGCAAATGCTCACTTCTTGCTCATAGATCACTCGTGAAGGTTTCTCAGGTTACAAATGGTTGAGAAAGGAAGTGTCAACTAAGATAACTAACCACTTAACGCTTCAAAAAGGTTAATAACCACCTGAAGGCAGTGAGCTTACAATAATAAGCAGACCCACGTACATCCCTGTGCACCCTCCCCTGCAGCTCTTAACTGAGATAGCTCAGCCTCACTAAAGTGATCTCGCTTGGCACAAACCTATCTTCTCTTGGTTTTCACCAGGGAGATGTGGTTAAATCCATTGCTGACTATAACAGAAAAGATATGTCTGGTTAGCACCACTGGGAAAAATTAAACTGAATTGTATCGATAGATCTTAGAAACTTAGAAGAGAGAGAAGATTCTATTAGCCATGGTTTTACTTTCTGGGAATGTCATCCAGTTAATAACCCAGGCACTCACCCAAAGACCAGGATCAACTGAAAAAAAAAAATCCCAAATTTGGAGCCATGAAAATATGGTCTGTTCTTGTTTTATTTATTTTGATGCTCCAGCAATAAATTCTCACGGTTAAAAAACGGCATACATCAAGTAAAAATAGAATTTCTTGGGTTTTAGCAGTCATGCATTCTTTGCCTGGTTAACACTGTAGTATGTTATTTTTCTTCCTGTGCAAGTATTTCTATCTTAAGGATAATTCCCTTCCTGATCTTCTAAAAACTAAATAGATTGCTCCATAAGTCTTCTCAGGAAATAAAACCTGATTCTATATTAAGGAGTATTTTGCTAATTTGTTTTTAATTTCCCAGCTATCATTAAAAGGGTATACAACCTATTTTTTTTTTTAATGTTTTGTACTTATGTAATTTACTGTCCTATTTTACAAATTATTCAGATGAAAACATCTGGAAAAGATTTGTGCTTTTTTATACACAAAGAGATGGGCTACAGAAATAGCATTGTAAAAAGACAATATGGAATTTTAGATCCCATTTTATTAAGGTATTTAATAATTTCTAATACCATCACTTAAGTACTGGGAACCCTGTACTCAGAAGAGTAATCCACTGTAATAAAATGTATTGATAGTAATAAAGAAAAAAGGAGCCCAAACCTTTTATAATGAAAAATTCTCAATTTATTTTACCAAGTTATCCTATTACACAATCTTTCAGAGATCAGTTTCAGAATGATACATAAGAAAAGCCTCACAGAATTAGAAAGTTAGTGCACAAATCAATCATTTTCTCAGTTTGGCCACAGACACTAAGGTGAAAAGGAGTCTGAGCATCTCATACTATATACTTCCCTTCTTAGCAGATACCCAATTCCCAAGTGTAAGGCATTTTTTGGCACCGTGGCCTATTTCAGTAAATTCAGACAAAACTGTATGAATATTCCCCATTTCTAGGGGCTGCACAGCCCCCATAAACATAGACTTGGCAACACATCCCTGCAGCAAACAGAAACTTGTATAACTTACTTGTCAACATCCACAAGTGCACCACTCCTTCAGAGAAAACAGAAACATGTTCCCAGAGAGTTTCTAGTTCTCTTTCAAATGGATGTGACAAAGACAAAATAAATAAGGATGAGATGTGACGAGGAATAATCAATGTGCCTGAATCCCTTAAGCCACCAAGATATGTTCATATATATAAAGATATTTTGGTAACATTTTTACAAAGAAATCCACCTTCTGAAGGTGACAAATAGCTAAATTGCACAAAGCACAGAGATCCCTGAGCTAGTGGTGACCTAGTTAAAAAGTCCACACTACACACTCCAAAGTTATGTGGACCTATCTGCCTAGGTCTAGAGGAAGTACTGCTGCCTTTTCAGCTAACAAATATTGCTTATTAGCTTCCATTCGACACCATGTGAATCATGGGTCGTATTTGCTAGTGTACATGTATAACCTCGAGGTCCTGGCTTTGAGGCTGGCACAAGGGCAGTTAGGTTAGATCTGCCTTTATTATTGTGGCCATAGCCAACAACAAAGCATTTATATTTGGTGCATTAATCTCAAAGAGCACTGAAATCAGGGCATCAGGCTTCACAGCTGAATTACATTCCACTAAATATATGAATCTGGCTTTTCTGGACAGTTTTCCCATCTGCTGACCCAGAAATTTTGGGGTCTTAGATTGAAACCTGCCAGACAAAGATGCATTTGCTAACATTCACTGATGTGGATATCCCCCATCAGAATAATTTGATTTCCTGTATTCCTTTCTAAGGAAGTAAAAAAGAAAAAAAGTGTCCCTTAGCTAGTAATTACCATTAAAATCATTCCACACACTTGTTTTACTGTGTGGAAACAGAACAAATCCTCCCAAATGTTTTGAAAAGCTAGATGAACATGGAATACGAGTGCACAGCTTTAGAGAAGTACTCAGTTACTCACTCTAAGTGTCATTTCTGTCCTTGGTGTCATCTGCCATGCCATTTTCTCCATCCCTTTCATGTAACTATTGTTACATGTACTCATGTACTCCCTCTATACTATATAAGTGAACTTAAAATTTTGTAGCAACCTGTAAAGAAAATGAAACGACTCCAGACTGGAAATGGAGCACTGGCAGAAAATCATGTGTCTCCTAGGCCCCTAATGCCAATTAAGAGTTTTTCCTAGGAAATTCAGATTTGTTTTCCATGAGGAACTTAAATTAGTTAAACTTTGATATGTTCCACTATGAAATCCTGATGAACAGAAACTCATCCTGATATAAATCAGATCAGGTTAAGAACTGACATGGTTAAGAATCAGTACTTGGCTGCTGTGCACATCTAATTTAGTTTGACATGCCTGAGATCAAGTTAACTGTAGCCTGTTACAGACTTGACTGCTTTAGCTGAAACTGGAAACTTTGATTTCACTGCAGTGTCATTAGCCACTGAAGGGAGATGCCAGCATCAGCACTGACACGGTATCCAGCAGTGTCTTATTCAACACCATAATGCATCCCTGTATTCAGTGTTGGGCAGCGTCAGCACAGACTTCCAAAAAACAACTGAAGAAACATTAAAATGAGGTGTCTGATTACCAGGAAATCAATCATTTATACACTTCCTTCAGACAAGACCTGACCTTCACTTACCAATGCACACAGGCGAATTAGAAGAGCCTCAAGATGACGCCCTACACATTGAAGAACAGCAGCTGTGTTTACAAAATTTTATAAAATTAAGACACAAAGTCATTTTCAAATTCCCAGCAACAAAAGCAAAAGCCATCATTGCATTGCTAAAATGATTAACAGATCAAGACCAAGTACTTCTCCAGAACTGCAGCTAGGGCAGATTCTTAGCCCTAGACTTTTGGGAGCACAATGTTCTGTGCTTGTCTAAAGAAACACAAGCCACAAAAAAAAAATCAGGAAAATGCGGTCATAGGTCTCACATGTCATAGAGCTTGTGCCATGGTTGTTGTGGGAAGCCATCAGCTTATGGGTACGTATTTTTGTACTTGCTGGGCTCCAATCTCTGCAATATAGATTGCTCCACTCTTCATGTCTATATCTACAAGGTGTGGCTTGGTTTCATCTGCCAGCTGGATTGCGTTGACTATAGCACAGTCCCCAATAATGCCAACTGGTGGTGCTGCCAAGATTGCCAAACGGTTGATATTCATCTGAGCTACAATCAGATACTTGTAATCGGAAGTAAATCTGTGAAAGAGAGAAACGTGTTTTTGAATCATGCACTCCATGTGACATCCCATGGAAACATAATGATATGCTTAAAAAAAAAACAACCAATCAAACAAAAAACACTCCTTCCTTAATATTCAAGTTTTTGAAGGGTACAATAGACTAAATGCAGCGAAACACTGAGAATTAACTTGTAAACTTTGCTCTGTATGTTGCTACTCCTTGAGACAGATTATGTTACAGAAAATTCATTCAAGACAATCTCTCTTCCTGTAAAAGCTGCAACAGCAAGGCCAACAAAATATAACAAAACAAAACAAAATTCCCAATTCAGCACTTGAATCCACATGGTCTGTTGTAAAACCAGGATTCCTCTGCCATGTCAACATACAACTGTGTAGATCTCTGCATGTGATCAGGACCCAGCTCCCCGTTAATAAAACTGGTTAACTCCTTGTCATCAGGCATTAGATATCAACATTATAGCTCACCAATAAGAGTGTATCTTTTATTTATGTAATTGCATGTTTCTAAAAGAATTGTTCAGCAATACCTGACAGAATAGGGTCCGTCTTCTGAGAAACAGCTACTCCACGCCCCCAGCCATTCCCCTGTCACTTTATCAAAAACCTGGATTCTTTTGTTGTCTCTGTCTGCAACCCATACCTACAATGAACAAAAATTATGGCTATTCACAAATAGAACAAATTAAACACATCAGCTTCTTACATAAGCAAAGTATCCTGAAGTAAAAAAGTACACCTAAGAGGAACACACCTTCACATTCAAAGCTAAGTACATATGACTTCCAGATTTAAAACAAACTGCCAAGCAAAATTACTTTTACATTAATTTAGCAGAGAAATCAATGCCCTCTCTTCATTTCTGTGGCTGTGATACAAATATACTCAATGGGAATATATCCATATCCCCCAGTGAGAACATACGCACACCTTTTTAATTCTAGAGGTACTGGTCTGTCACCCATTAACAATTTGTTTTTTAACAGTAGTCTCATGATCCAAACCTCTGATGACTTCATCTGTAGACATGGATATGTTTAAAACTACTACAAATATTGAGCAACTTCAACACTAAGGACATTTTCAGCATGCTTTGTTTAAGTAGTTTTGTGAAGCTTGTCTCAGTTCCACCCTGTGTTAACAAACATGATAAGCTAGCAATACCACTAGATAGTTCCAAGGAAAACATCTCATTTACTACCATCACTGAAATTTCAGCTGTTGACAACCTGTCAGTCAGAAAAGTAAGCCTCATCACTTTTCTGGGATATCACCCAAAAGGGAGCAATAAAGAAGTTGACCTGAGATCCTTCATCGCTATTTTTAAGTGAAACACCACTACAGCACTCTCTCAGATTTCTTAGGAATTGCCAATGAATGACCTGGGCTGATGATCAATGCCACCTTGGCAATAATTTCAAGGCCCATCACAATTGCTGTCTTTGAATGCGTATACTCACGGTTCCCTTTCCACACCAATTTGCCATATCTTTTCTCCCTCCCACCCTGCCAGTTTTGGCAGAGAAGTGATTTCTATAAACACTTCTTATTCTGGTTCAGACAGCATCATCAGAATTAGCTGATACGGCTATTTAAGATGTTTTAGCCAAGTGATCGTCTTTTTCCTGAAGAGTATTAGGGAGCAAAATATTAAGAACAGCAGGGCAGAAGTCAGATTGCAATTAACATCTGGAAGAAGTAGAATCTTGAATGCTTTGAGCTGCATGTGGATGAGGACAGATGCCCACAATGTAGCCAGTGCCTTACCATCTTAAGCTTATCTGGAATTTCCAAATATGAAGTTGAATAAACTTAAGTGCTTGGGTAGATATTTGTTACAGAACAAAATTCTGCTCTACTCTCACCATGGCAACCTGTGAGATACTGTAAGAGGAACATTGCCAATATCCATGCAACAACAGATAGTAACTGGCAGGACCCTTGTGTCAACCTCGGAGACAGCTACTTCAGCAGAATCTTCGGTGTGAAACTTCAGCTCACGACTGCTTTCACACTGAAAAGTGTAAGCCACATACAATAACCCAGTTCACAACAGGTCAAGGAACAAGAAACACAACTTGTATTTTTAAAATTAATCTCCCAACAGGCTTGTTTACATCTAAAAAAAAATTAAAAAAAAAAAAAAAAAGTTCTTTAAATCTTTACCCTTCCATAACAATCCACTGTCACGCTGTGAGGAATCTTGAACTGGCCAATGCCGGTCCCATTTTCTCCACTCAGCCAGATCTCTTTGTAATCTAAGCAGTAAGCACCATGTAAAATAAGAGGGAAAATGAAGTAAGAAAAAATAAAATAAAATAAAATAAAATAACTTTAGCTTTAAGTCATTCCCTTGCAAAGTTATTTTCAGTCACTTTTAAAATATGGTGTTTCTAAACCTGGAATTTTAAACACAGTACTTCTGATACTGGAAATACTGGAACTACTACAGTGACTACTGGATTGTTATTAGTGGTTTCATGATTATGGTTACAGAAATGCAGCCACAGTTCAAGGCTTTGCTAAGCATTATATTGAAAAAAAATAACAATAATAATAAAAACAACTGAAAGAGTATGATACCCATTTGTTTAGAAAACTGATGTTTTTCATTATGTCAGTTTTGAGTTTTAAGAATTTATCTTTTTGCAAACTAAATGTTAGCTGACTGTTTTATGAAGTGAATAGTGCAAATGAGAAACTGCCACACCTCCCCCTTTCCCCAGCTGCAGCCATGCACAGACTCCTCACTCACTGCACTAACCAACACAATACTGGGGAATATGAACAAACTAATCAGTATCAAAATAAAAGGATCCCCAGACACCACCTGGCACAACCTGTCTGTCAAAGTAGGGCTGGTGTTAATAACAAATCAAAACCTGAAGTTAAATCAGGGTGCTCATATCAAGTTTTGAGCACCTACAAGGGCAGCGACTGCCCAGCCTCTCTGGGAAAACTACCCACTGCCTGATCGCCCTTCAGGGAATCCCTCCTCAGGATCAAACTGGAATTCCCTCTTCCTTGCAACTTCTGTTCATGCCTTGTTCTTCCATCACACACATCCCAGAAATCTATGGCTCTGTCTTCTCTATACCCTCCTATCAGCAACTTGAAGACAGTGATAAGAAACTACCTTAGTCTTTTATCCTCAAGACTGAACAAATTCACTCTCTCACCTTCTTGTCATAAACAGATAGATTTCTACTACGTGACAAGCAGTAAAACAGGATCTGATCCAACAAAGTCTTCAAGCTAATTTTAAAAGTAGCCGTGCAACCTAGTCCCCACTTAACAGTATTCTCAAGTTAATATTTAAAATTCGAGTTGCAATTGCCACCTGCTGCAGAAGTTTATTTTTCCATACCTGTGGACAGTTTGAGCAGTCTGTTATTCATTCCTCCATCTCCATCCACAACATACATATCTCCACTTTCCTCTACAAAAATCTCTGCTGGTTGATCAAATTGTATTGGATTCAAACTTGAACCTGCATTCCCTGGCGTGCCCAAGATTTGCAGAAGTTTACCAGAAGGGCTGTACTGTTTCACGGTGTGCCCGTACTTTCCTGAAGTAAGATTAAAAAAGTGCAAAAATGTCTTAACAAAACAAAACAGTAAGTACTACCATTGATTACAGAGATTAAAAGGAAAAACTCCTGACACTAGCAAGTGAGATCAATGAATCAAAACAAAATTACACCATGAGACCATGACTGTGGGTTAGCAAATCCATAGGCTACAGCAGTATTTAGCTGTTGTATCTGTGTAATCTAGGGCAGAAGAGAAGTCTCACAGCCACAAGGTATTTTTTCTTATCCTTCTCCTGGACAAAAAAGTAAAACAAAAAATGTCTTTACTAAATTTAGACACTATAAACAAACACATAGAACTACTCGTGAACCTTCAGACTATTTTAGGCAGCACCTGAGCAGTTTGTTCCTGGCGAAAAAAGCACAAATCTGTTTCAGAATTATTTGAAAGCCTTATTTAAATAAATAAGCCATTTAAAGTAATATCTGCGCAATTTGCATTTTCTTCCCTGCCTAATACTTTTCACATCTCCACCTTGCATACCTGCTCCAACATCTGTGATCCATACTGAACTATCAGTTGCGGTGTTTAATACAAAGATACCATGAGGCATTTCAACTGTATCATTCCAGGAGTAAAGAAAATAGCCTTCCACTGAGAATACAAGTACCTTTGGTACATCATCTCCCCTCTGAAAAAGCAAAAAAAAAAGATCTATTACGAAAACATATTAACCAAGTAACCAAACTTTGGAAAATTCCTCCTCATAAGTTTTTTTTTTTCAATGCTTCACGAATCATGGAATTCTCTTGAAACTGGTAGTTCTCATTTTTTCCAGTTGAAACAGGAAAGAGAGAGAAGGGTCCAAATTTAACATGCAAAACCCTCCACTCATTCTGGCCTTCAACCTGAATCACATAGAGTCCAATTTTCAGAACAGCCAAGCTCCTGCATTATCTTGATTTTCATTTTGATTCGTATTTATATACTCTTGATGAAAAATACATCAAGCACAACACAGGTACAAAAAAACTAACTGTACTTGTTAGCTACATGGTACGAAAGTACTCATGCTGTGCTTTGTAATTAAACCCCACCAGTTTCTACAGAGAGATCACCTTATCCATGATCTAAAAATACAATTCATAGGTAATGCAAGTAACTGAACCCCAATTATTTTAACTGTGGGGCTTTGATTCCATGGGACAAAGGCTGGATGAGAGGAAGGGGACTAGCCAAGATGCCCCAGAAACACACTGGAACTTACAGTTAGAAAAGAGGCTACTATAACTCAGTTAATTTAGATCATGTGTTAATATCACAGAAATTTAATTATTTTTTAAAAAAGGACAAAAAAGTATGATCCCCCAGAACTTCTTTTAAAATAGGTAAGGCAGAAAGATCTATACTTATATTTTCACTAATTTTGATACAGCAATTACTTTCTATACTTTAAACGTTGTTATTATATAGAAATTGGTAGGAAGTATATATTTCCTGATATTTATATTATATAAAATATAAAATTTAAAAGTATTTATACATATACATTATAAAATTATTATATAGGTATTATAGTTTACACACAAACATGTAAATACATACACATATGGAATTACATGTATCTGTAAATATAAATACACTTAAAGCAGACATTTTAAAGGCACAAATACATTGGATTAACAAGAATAGAAATTTAGTACTCTCACTCACTTGTCCCACGTAGACCAAACCATGAAGAGAATCAACAGCAACACAAAACGTTTGGCCAGTGAAATACTCTGGAATTTTAGGCCAGCTTATGTCCAGCTTGTACATCTGTTGCTGTCCCTTCGAAGGATAGAAGTAATCAAATGCTTTCAACACCTGACAATACAAAAATACATATCCATTAGCAGTTAGATTATACAACGGTGGGATGTTTGTTTACATCCAGTTTTAATAAATGTGAGGATCAGAACCGGCAATAGAAAGTAACTGTACTTACAGTAGTAAGTAAATGGATTTATTCAGGTTATAAAGGTAAACAGAAACAGGTTTTTAGTTATCATTTTGGACTATAATTGAGAAAACTTTAACAAACTGAAAATTAAGTAACAAAGCCGGTTGGATTGGGGAAGCTCTGGAACTTGAAGGCAAAAAACACACCCTGAAACTCCTTGTATCGAAGTTGCTGTTGCTACCTGTCAATGGACCCACACCAAAGAGGAAAACAGGAGAGAAGGTTTCAAATGCAACAGAATCAATAACTACTTCAAAAAAACAATGAAATCGGAAAAATAGGACAGCACAGATCAAGGAGGAAAGCTACACCATAGAAATGAGGAAGCGTAAGTAGGAACAGCACAGCTTCAGCACTTTAAAATGCGATGGAAGGAAAGCAGCTGCAGCTTTTTGGCTGTGCTGGCAGAGCCGAGGAAGGGAAGGGAGCACAGCTGCTCTCCTGCAAGCACCGGGCGGGGACCTCAGCGCTGAGGGATCCGGCTGGAGCTGAGCACTCACAAAACGGGGAATCGCTGGTGACTAAAAACCTTTTAATGTTGCTGTCCGCTGGAGGTAGGGCTCCGTGGATCGGAATCCAGAACGCCACAAACTGCCACGGCGCCCCCCTCCCCACACACACCCCGACACCCTCCCCACACACACCGGACTCCCCCCGGGGCCATGCCGGCGCCCCCCCGCCCACCTGCGAGCCCCCGATGAGGCCGAGCAGCACCAGCAGGGCGCCCGCCATCACCAGCCACGGCCCCAGCGCCCGCTTCCCCCTCATGGAGGCGAGGCCGGGCCGTGCCGGGCGGGCGGCGTTGCCATGGCAGCCCCGTGACAGCGGCTTGGGCCCCGGGCAGCGCCCGCCCACAAAATGGCGGCGGGGTGCCCAAAATGGCGCCGGCCTGGCGGGGTTGAGGAGAGGAGGAGGAGGAGGAGGCGCACGGGGGTAAGGCTCCGCGCTGCGTGCGGCGTTTCTGAGGAGCCGGGAGAGCTGCGAGGCCGCCTCGGGGGTGCTGCTTCTCCTCAGGCAGCGCGGAAGGCGAGCGGTGCCCACATTTGGCGTCACAGCGGCGCGCCCAGCAGAGCGGCAGGACCGGGGCAGCGGAGCTTCTCATCGCCTCGCCTCAGCTCGCTGCTGGGCCATGGCGAGCGGGATGGCCCCGCTGCTGCCCGTCTGTCCCTGTCCGTCTGTCCCGCGGCCAGCCGCCGTGCAGAGCCGTCAGCGCTAGCCTCAGGGGCTGGGGAGAGCCCGGGCCGCCTGTCCTGCTCGGTGTTTTTTTTAACTAATCTATAAATTTTTAACTAATCTATATATCTTAGCTAATTATATATATTTTTATATATCCTCTCGTTGAAATCTTTGGCCTGGAGTTTTTTTTTTTTTTTTCCCCTACCCTTTTCGTGTATCTGCATTGAATGAACTAATAAAGATGGATAAGAAATCGTTTGAGACCGTGCTGGATGAAATTAGAAAGGTAACTTTTCGTTTTGCATGCCAGATTAACCATTTCATCTAGAATATGATGAACACACCGCGTTCATTTGTGTTCTTTAATAATCACTCGAGGCTCCAATAAAGACTAAATTGCACTTCAGTTTGAAAAACTATAATCCTGTGTTATTGCTATATCCTAGTCATTGTATATCAAATATAATAGCGTAAGGCTGTTGTGATGTGCTTGCTCTGTTTGAGATACTTCTATTCTCTGAGAAAAGTGATGTGATGTTAGTTCACTGCTGAAAGCATGGACCAGATGTACTTGAAAAAATGCTCGTCTGAAATAAACATTGGAATAAGTTATCATGACTTCTTCTCTGTCAAGGTAGAGGAGGATGAAAAGCCAAATTAGCCTAATAGTTCTTAATTGAGGGGAGGACATTTGCTTAGTTCATCTGGAGAAGTGGGTTTATAATGTGAGATATATTTTGTATATATTTAGGAGATTAAACACATAAGAGAGCTGATGACCAAGATGCATTCTGTGATCTCCCCCTGCTCAGGAACACGTGCATGCCTTCCTCCAGGTTGTGGAGTCCTGGATTTTGGTCCCCTTCATGGGCTCTCTTTGCACATCACCTGTTAAAAATGCCCTGAGCAAAATATTTGCTTGATGTGGGAAGCAGAGACACAAACAAAGCCTTGTTAGGCATTGGAATGGGCTGCCCAGGGAAGTGGTGGAGTCACCATCCCTGGAGGTCTTTAAAAGACGTTTAGATGTAGAGCTTAGGGATACGGTTTAGTGGAGGACTTAGTGTTAGGTCAGAGGTTGGACTCAGTGATCTTGGAGGTCTCTTCCAACCTAGATGGTTCTGTGATTCTGTGGAACCTAGGCTTCCCGTTATCTGACAGGTGCTCTCACTTCTTTCTGCACAGAGGCTTGCTTTTAACAGAGGAGCTAGAGGTCAGTGTTTAGGGCAATTCCCCAACTGCTGGAAGTGGACAAGGAGGTAGAAAAAAATGTCTGGACCCTTCAGGAACTGAGAGACAAATAAAAGGATAATTCCTGCCTTGTGTGGGAAGTGCAAACCTGGGGTGAGGCATTTTGCTGTAGCTGAAACATTAAATCAGGGGTGATGTATGTCACTAGTGTGCTGGTAAAGCTGTGGTGGTGAGGAAAGGAAGGGCTTGTCCTGGGAGTTTGTTATCATGAGCTGTTTTGGGGGGGGGGTGTTTGCCTGCAGACAGTGGGGTGCTACAGAGAACAGGTTTGGTCCAGCCAGTGCTCGGAGCCACAGTGACTGCAGTGGGAGTAGTCACCTTTTGGGGTGCACCAAGGTACAAACCACTCCTGCACAGAGCCCCAGTGATGGTCTTCCTTAGCACCACAGCACTCACTTGCTTTTTGTGTAGGGCCTCAAACACCCCTTAATAAAACAGATGGGTGTAGGGGTATGTATACGTATGCTGTGTAACCATCTAAAAATGACAGATTGAGAGGTTTCAGGGTGTGGGTTTCCATCCTACTCTAAGATATTTTATGGAAAATTTGGGGAAAAAATCAAGGAGCAACTTGCATGTGAAGTACTTTTTCTGAGAATCGGTGGTGGGAATGAGTAATGTTTCAAACATCATGTCTGCATTGCAGCCCTTCAGAATACGCTCTGTGATTACTAAATACTTCAGACAAAAGGGGTTTTGACATGTGATTGCAGGCAATTATATTTCCTGTATGCTCTCTGCCTGTATTCCTGTAAACCAAATTTACAGTTCATCTAAGGATCAGCACTGCGCTGTTAAGACTAGCTGTGCTGTATCACATGTGACATCTATTTGTATCTTTGTTGGTAGCTCTTTGTTTAAACTTAGTCTAGCTCTGGAGTAGAACCTTATTTATTATCTGGCTTACAAGTAATTAGTGTGGGTACATTTCATTTTCACCCCACAATTAGCAGGAAAGAATTATTTAAATGTCTTAATGTGCAGCTTAGTGCCATCTTTCCCCATACATATTTAGGATTATTAACAAAATATCCTTTTCACAGCACTGCTTTCTCTTTCTGTTATTTTTGTGATGTTATTCTGTTGTTGATTTAAGGACTGACATTTCTTTTTGTAAAGAAACTGTTCCATGACGTGCTAATTTTCTTTTTTTTCCCTTTATATGGGAAGAGAAGGATGGGAGAGAATTAAAAATGATGATGTAGAAGTGGCTGTGAATCCCCTGTGGCTTCAGTGTTTCTGGTAGTCTTGGTCTCTTAATGAGGTAGAGGGGTTTGCCTCAATCAGTGTGCAAGTGTGTTTCTGAACAGCTGTGCTCCTACAGACAGATTGCAGTGATGGAGATCTTCATTTCTGTCTGTGTGGAGGAGCAAGGGGCAAAAATCAGAAAGAGTAGGGGGGCGGTTTTAGGGCTATGCTATGCAGTAGAGGAAGGGAGAAATGGGGGTGGATGAAGCTGAAGATGACCAGGATATTTAGCATGAGAGCTAGAGATAGATGGGGGGCTTGGAAACTGGAGAAGAGGGTGTCCTGTCTTCCCATGCTGCATGAGTACCAGTGAGCTGAGCACAAGGAGAGGGAAGCAACCCCAGCTGCTGGCCTGTGTGATTGTCAGCAAAACTGTCTTACCACCAGGTCAGAAGTGGAGGCCAGTACTGCATTAAACTGCCTTGCTTCCTTCGTTTTAATGGTTGCATGTTCAATTTTGAACTGTGGTAAGGTAATGATAAGACAACGTCACATTTCTGGCGTACTCAATTCTGTCCATCCAGTCTTGTTACCCAGTCTCTGCATAAATTCGCTGCAGTAAGACACTCTGCTAATTATGTTATAGAAACGTACAAGGGGATTGAGTGAATAATGAACTGTATTTAGCATAATGTTGATGTAAACCATAGTGGCAAAAGGAAGAATGCATGTGAGGTTCTTTCAGTTCAGCTTTAAACTAAAACGCAGTGTGAAATGAATTAAACCCAAACAAGTATTTTTTAAAACAGAAAAATTAAACGGTGTCTCTCTGCTTTTCATTGTTCCTTTAATTCAATGAGGAATATAGTGTCACTTAGGAATACTGCGGTTAATTGATGCAAAGGTCATTTTGTAAGGTCGAGTATGTTTTTTAGATTAATAGTTTGATCTAACAGATGATTGTGCTATAATTTTAATTTTGAGGGGCTACTGATGTGTTTTGTCTTTTTTTCCCCCCTGTATCTTCTAGGCTGTATTGACTGAGTACAAATTAAAAGCTATTGAATATGTTCATGGATACTTCTCTAGTGAACAGGTAAAAGTCAACACTGTCATGGTTTTAATGGGAGCTGTTGGTTTTGTGTGTTCAGTAGTATAGAAAGACTGCATCTCTGGTCATACTGAGGCTGATCATACTCACTTTTTTATTTATTAACTAGGGAGATACATTTTCTGATTATTATATCAACATTAATCTGCTAAAAGTAATTCTAAGTTATTTGATGTTAGCAAAACCATTGCATTTTAGCTTATCTTGTGTGAGGAAAATTGGGGAAATTAATCATGGAATTTGGGATTATGTTGCATATATTTTCTAAACTGGTGTATTACAATAAGTACCCAACTGTTATTTTGGTCCTATCTATCTATTTATTTATTTATTTTTGATTCTTTGATTTTTATCCATGTTTAGTAAATATGCTGTTTGAGATAGTGTATGTTAATAAGCTTTTTACAAACGACTTATTTTTTTTGTTCTCATACTGTGGCAATTGTGGGTATATAGAAATACATAAAGAGGAATAAGTATCTACTTTAAATACTTCCATATCATCTCGTGACATAGGATGTTTATTTAGGAGACTATGTGGACATAAAAAGAACATTAGATACTGACAGGCACTGAGGTACTCAAATATTACAGATAAGTTTGTGTTTTTAGCTGTATACCACTGTATTCCAAGAATGGAAAGATGATATTGATGCTATTAGCATCATTTTTGAATATACATAAAAGATTAATTGATGGCTTTTCTGTTGCAGGTTGTTGAATTACTGAGATACTTTTCTTGGGCTGAACCACAGCTCAAGGCAATAAAGGCTTTACAACATGTAAGTTCTAGTGGAATCATTTTGTGGAACATGTTTGCTCTTTTAATCTCATTTTAAATTTATGATGTGTTCTTTTGCAACTGATGGGTCTACCCTTTAATCTTCAGTGTTTCTGTTTCCTTTTTTTTTTTTTTTTTTAATGAAATCTCATACATTTAACCAGGGTATTTTTTTCTCACTAAAGTATCTTTGACTTTCCTGTGTAACACGCAATAGATGTAGCTCTCTAACTAATGTTAACCTTCCTAATATCTCTGCTTTTGACAAATGCTTTGTAGGGTTCCTTGTCCAGGATTTAGCACATAGAATCTCCTTCTCAGAAATTAAATAAATATTTGTTTGCTGAAATACACGATACGAAGCTGTTACTGAGTGTCATTTTTAGTTTAAAGTAATTGTAGTGCCTTGTTTTATATTTACTTTTTTTTTCTTGTTTGCTTGTCAGAAAATAGTGGCAGTTCCCGCATCAAAAATGGTTAATATTCTCAACTGCTTCACATTCAGTAAAGATAAACTTATCGCCCTTGAAATCTTAGCTTCGTAAGTACCTCTCATACGTTATTTCCTTATGATGTATTTATTGTATTTTGCTAACGTTTGAGTATGTAAAACTTAATATACTT